AGAACCACATGTTCCAGCATCTTCTGATGGCCATCAGATACTGGGACTGGTAGTTACTATTTTCTTTAATCCAACTCAGTGCAACCCCAAGTTCCAGCATGTCCCGATGGCCACTAGATACTGGGACTGGTAGTTACTATTTTCTTTAATCCAACTCAGTGGAACCCCAAGTTCCAGCATATCCCGATGGCCACTAGATACTGGGACTTGCCATTCGTTATTTTATTTTTAGTTGCAGAGGAACCACATGCTCCAGCATGTCCTGATGGCCTCCAGTTTCTGAGACTTGCCAATATTATTACTTATTAGTTGCAGAGGAACCACGAGTTCCATCATGTCCTGACGCCCACTAAATACTGGGACTTGCAGTTCCACAACAGCTGGAGCACCAGAAGTTGCAAAACAACTTTTTGTGCTAAATACTTGAAGGGCAAATGAACATCTCGATGCATCCTACGTTCTAATAATAATAAAATCACATTGGAAAGAGAGACAGTTGTAAAGTTCTGCAGCGAAGGTGGAGGAGGTGAGGTTCTTCCGATCATCGTAAGGCAGTGATAGGTATATATCTAGTAGTATATAGTGATGATCTCCGATCATTGTATGGCAGTGATAGGTATATATCTAGTAGTATATAGTGATGATCTCCGATCATTGTATGGCAGTGATAGGTATATATCTAGTAGTATATAGTGATGATCCCCGATCATTGTATGGCAGTGATAGGTATATATCTAGTAGTATATAGTGATGATCTCCGATCATGGTATGGCAGTGATAGGTATATATCTAGTAGTATATAGTGATGATCTCCGATCATTGTATGGCAGTGATAGGTATATATCTAGTAGTATATAGTGATGATCTCCGATCATTGTATGGCAGTGATAGGTATATATCTAGTAGTATATAGTGATGATCTCCGATCATTGTATAGCAGTGATAGGTATATATCTAGCAATATATAGTGATGATCTGCGATCAATGTATGTCAGTGATAGGTATATATCTAGTATATAGTATATATGTTCCCGCACTGTAAGGGTTAAGTGTTTGTTTTGGTCTCGGGAAGAAGATAAGATAGACAGAAGATAGAGAAGATATACTCACCTGATCCTTGGCCCCACTCCGGTGACCTCTCACTTCTCTCCCCCCTCCGTTCCGGCTGTGCAATGTCCCTCGGCATCTTCACTTCCAATGCAAGTGAATGGATGTGATGATGTCACGGATCCTTAGACCACCGGAGCCCAGGGGAGAAGAGGCTGCTGGGACTGGTCTAGCAGCAAGCTGGGACCGAGGGATTGGGTGAGTATATCTTTTTTATTTGAAGGGTTAATTTTTTTACATGCCTGGAGTTCCTCTTTAAAGCTGAAGTTTAACCTTCTTATATTTTGCCTTCCCGGGTTCCCCCTCATCAACATGCTAATGAAATTAATAAAAAAAGAAAACCTTTCAGTTTTCTTTACATACCTTATTTTAGATCCAGTGATGTCATCACTGCGTCTCTGTGCTTCTTGCAATGCAGGCAGATTATAGCTGGTAGGAGGAGCCGTGACATCATCACATCCATTCACTTGCATTGGACGTGAAGATGCCGTGGAGAGTTACTAGACCAAGCTGCATTGCTTAGCTTATGGCAAAGAAAGGTAAATGGTCAGGACCTGGCTATAGTATATGGCGGGTAGGGATGCACCGATATCGATACTAGTATCGGCATCGGTGCCGATACCGTGTATTTGGGCGAGTACTCGTACTCGCCCATATGCTCCGATACCTTCCCCAATACCGGAACTTCCGGTCAGAGGAATGACCCGCCTCCCTGATTGGCCGAGAAGCTGGCTGCATGTTGATTGGCCGGGAAGCCTTCTTCAGGGCCAATCAGTATCGAGCCAGCCGAACACCCGGCTCAGTGCTGATTGGCTGAGAAGCCAGCTTTCCAGTAAATTAGCATCAAGCCGGCTTCCCGGCCAATCAGGAACCTGGGAGGGGGGTCCTTACTCTCTTACTGTGCTTGGCTGGGAAACCGGCTTCTCAGCCAATCAAGGTGGCCAGACAACATGGAGCCAGCTTCTCAGGCAATCGGATTGCTGCGGAAGCCGGCTCCATGCCAGCGAAAGCAGCGTTATCGGTACGCAGTATCGACGAGTACCGAAAGCAAAGTAACGGTACTCGTACTCAATACCGAAAAAACGGTATCGGTGCATCCCTAGGTGCCCATTCACACTGAGCGTTTATTCGCACGATATCTGCCGCGATATCGCGCATATTTGCCGCGTGATATCGCGAGAAGTCGCTCGTCCAATGATTTTTAATGGAGCTGTTCTATTCTACAGCTCCACATCGCCTGTCGCTTGTGCAGGACCCTTTTTTGCGCGGATGTCGCGCGATTTTGCTCTTTTTGCATGCAGCTCAATAGTGAAGGTCGCGCGATCGTCGCCGGGAAAGTCGCGCTATATAGATCGCGTGGAAATCCGCTCGAGGTAAGTGTCGCTCAGTGTGAATGGGGCCTAATGGCAGGTGTTTTAATACATATAGGTGAGCAGTCTTAGCTGCCAAAATATTTGCAATTCTGTTCAAGCTGCTAAACCGCATACACCTGCCATATACTATAGCCAGGTCCTGACCATTTACCTTTCCTTGCCGTAGGCTAAGCAATGCAGCTTGGTCTAGTAACCCCCCAACCTGTGATTGGATAGTGACGGAGCAGCATCTCTCTGATGAGGTTACCCTGAGCTCTCTCCTCCAATCAGCAAGTTCTATATGTTAGATTTGCAGCACTGTGCGGTGCGATAAAGCTTGATATAAATTGTAATAAATCATTGAAATTGTTTTTGAGCTTCTAAAATAAAAGAGGCAGCTGGACTAATAAATTATCCAGAAGATGGTGTAACTCCAAGTCATCTTTTCCTGCTCCATCACCTTTGGTTATTGCCAGCCACATAATAGCTAAAGTTGTATGTAAAGCCGAACTCCTGGCACATATAAAAGACATAAATGAATCAGTGTAAGTACCTGAATGTGACCTGGTATCGGCCTCCTGTACAGCAGGGCTGGAGTGTGAGAGGGAGAAACAGTACAAGGAACCGAACCGTTCACGTGCTGACAAGAAACATGCTGATAGGCGGAGAAAGCAGAGGGACAGGGAGATGAGCTCATCGCCGTGCTGCTTCTCTTTTCACTGTCCAGTCACAGGCTGCGGGTGGGTCCAGGACAACCTGAGCTCCAAGGAATTGGGTTGAATGATGCTGGCCATCAGACTGAGGACATCTAGTGGCAGGAAACATGTACTGCAGGGGGAAATCTCTGCATTATGTTATCTTTGAATTGACAGGCCATCCTGTTATTTTGTTCCGCTTTACAAAAAAAACTATTTGAATGCCTTAATTTTAATTTCTAAGAGTGCCTACTGTTATTTAATGGAGGCTACTTCAAGAGTTGAGGGAGGGTAGTGATGGGCAAGCTACATCGCAGCACTGTGACATAGCCAATAGGCCCTAAGTTCCGTGTGGCCGGGGTCACGGCTCTCGAGCGATGTTTGGGGGAGCAATGAAGGATACGTATACGGTCATGTGGTCATGTTGGTTGGTTAGAGGTAGGGATATACTACAGAGAACACACTTAGTTATAACTGAGTAAATCCCTTTCTTTTCTTTCTTTCTTTCTTCCTTCCTTTTTTTCTTTCCCTTTCCTTTTTCCCTCCCTCCTTCCTCACTTCTTTTCTCATTCTTTTTCCTTCCTTCCTTTTCTCTTTCATCTTTACATTTCTTCTTCCTTTCCTTCCTTTTCCTCCCTTTCTTTCTTACTTTCGCTATCTCTCCTTTCTAGCTTTTTTCACATCCTTTCCTCTCTTTCCTTCTTCCCTCTCTCCTTTCTTTCTTTCTTTCTTTCTTTCTTTCTTTCTTTCTTTCTTTCTTTCTTTCTTTCTTTCTTTCCTTTCTTTCTCTTTCCTTTCTTTTCTTTCTATTCTTTCCCTTTTCCCTCCCCCCTTCCTCTCTTCTTTTCTCATTCTTTTTCCCTCCTTCCCTTTCTCTTTCCTTCTTCCCTCCCTCCTTTTCTTTCTTTCTTTCTTTCTTTCTTTTTTTCTTTCTTTCTTTCTTTCTTTCTTTCTTTCTTTCTTTCTTTCTTTCTTTCTTTCTTTCTTTCTTTCTTTCTTCTTTCCTTTCTTTGTTTCTTTCTTTTCTTTCTCTTTTTCTTTCCTTTCTTTCTTTCTTTCTCTTTCTTTTCTTTTCTTTCCTTTCTATTACTTCCCTTTTCCCTCCCTCCTTCCTCTCTTCTTTTCTCATTCTTTTTCCTTCCTTCCTTCCATCCATCCATAACATTCTATACATCGGTGTTATCCAGCTGGTCTTTAATTACAAGTATATAGAAATCATTGATTCCCTGTAAGGCGCTGTGTAAAGCAGGTTACAAACCTGTAGGATTAGCTCAGTGATGAGAATGGAGAGGAGCTGGGGGAGTGGAGAGGAAGAGGCGCTGGCTTGTCAGGGGGGCAGTGGCGATCTGAACAGGTATTTTATATCTTCCGATTGACTTCCCCCCGTGACAGCCAGCTTTCCCCTTCTGCAGGAACCTATAGACATGAGATTATAGCCCGATGCAGCCAAAGATGGCAACTGTCTTTTAATGTCTGTAGCTACTCTGCAGCTACCATGGGGCTCCCCGAAGCACCAGGGCATCAGAACTGTCTGGTTTATGCGAGTGGCGTTTGGCAAATACATAGAGATTAAATAAATGTCTATAAAGTTAGGACGCCTCTATACAAATTCTGTTAAAAACAATTTCCATTCTGTGTTAGAAAAATTGCCTTGGAGAACATGGAAATTATAGAGATGGGGTCCCCTTTGTAGTTTTGTTATGGGGCCCTATCACACATGATTCTGGCCCAGGCCAAAAGGTTTCCCTTCAACTCGTCCATTGTTAGTCTGAGTTTGGTTTATTAGCAATCTGATTGTAATGTGTGTGTCTATACTAATACTGTTCCCTCTCTGTTGCAGATGATGTGATCCTTCGGACTGGTGCCCTCTAGGTGCTGCATTCCGCAGCTTCCTGCCCCGCTATTCTCAACTGCGTCTTTCTTCAGGACCTCCAGGATCCCTCAGCCACCACATACCTAGGAATTCAGCTCTTCTGCTCTCGCCTGGACCGCTGGGAGGAGGAAGCCCTACCCCTGCCTCCTCCCTCCTCACCTCTAGGTTGCTTATGATGGAGAAGGACCAACAGGCAGATCAGCAGTATGAGTGTGTGGCTGAAATTGGGGAAGGGGCATATGGCAAGGTGTACAAGGCCCGTGACCTAAAGAATGGAGGACGCTTTGTGGCCCTGAAACGGGTGAGAGTGCAGACTGGGGAGGAGGGAATGCCGCTGTCCACCATCCGGGAGGTGGCTGTGCTGCGACATCTGGAGACCTTTGAGCATCCAAATGTGGTCAGGTAAGAGTGAAGGTGGCTCCTGTGACCCCCACAGGCACAGACGGGGTTTGATGTGATGTATGAGGAGAGAAATGTAGGCAATTGAATGTAGTATTTGATGTAGAATAGGAATTGGAGGCCAACCAATCTAACCCTTAAAGTCAGTAGCCTCATTTGAATATCAAGGGAATCCTAACCTCTACTGACAGTAGAAATGACTCAGGAAGGTCTAGTTATAATTGGCCATTCAGCTCCTGGGATTTATTTTTGATTGATTATTATTGTTTGGATACCCAACTGTAAGCCGCACCTTGCTCTGTCATAATGATTCCATATCTGCTGAAAATGATATTATGTAACGTATGAAGAGAAATATGGAGGCTGTCAATGTGGACCCCTCCTTCGTGGTATACTGTCATACCAATCAAGTGGCTTCAAAACTTTTTAAAGCCCAACTTTTCTTAAATAAACTGGATCCCAAAGTAGGGCAAAAGATGAAAACACTTGGGCTGCCATACTTCCCTGTAATCAAAAGTTGTCCCCTGCAGTATTATTATTCCACCACTAGATGCCCTCAGTAGTATTATGAATGAATGTGCATCATGGCCTTGCCCTCTTAGGGGGCATCATCACGGTGCCCTTCACTCATAGCGGCATCTCCGTGGACCAGCCACTGCTGGGAAGTGTAAGGTGATTTGCGTGCAGGAAGCTTTAAGTACTGTGGAGAGGAAACAGGAGGTGTCCTTCTACAAAGGAGAGCTGAGATGGGATAGTGAACACTGAGAGAAGGAGCCGGTACTGTAGATGGGAATATAGTCTTTGAGGGTATATAGCTAAATGGCTGTCAGAAGCCTTTGGACTGCTTTGGAGCAATAAAGGCTTTAGGAAACATGGCTCTATGCACTGGGGGG